GACATCAATCATATAGCTTTATCATCACCAAAAATTAATAGCTTCAAAGCTAATATGAAAAAAAAATTAAAATCATATTTTATAGATTTATGGCACCCTGAACGGATAAAGTATTCAGATGGTAAACTTAGAACTTATGTTACATTTAAATCACATTTTGGAAGAGAAAAATATCTTTTCATTATGGGGAATTTTGAACAGAGACGAAGCTTAACAAAGCTCAGAATTTCATCACACTATTTAAGAATTGAGTCCGGAAGGTATCAGGGTACTCTCCTAAATGACAGAACTTGTACTCGTTGTAACTCTGGAGATGTGGAGGATGAATATCATTTTCTATTTCAATGTGTTAAATTAAATGATGACTGCATTCGTCTATTTCAAGAAATAACTAAAAGTTGCCCCAATTTTCTAAGTCTTAACTCAAAGGATAAACTGATATGGCTTATGAACACAGAAGATAAGTCAATTCTCACTGCTGCTGGTAAATTTATTTCTAAAAAATGTTAATGGTGTTGCTTTCTTCTCTGCTTCAGACACGAGGAGGACTGTGTAAATAACACAGCTCCATGAGCACCGCCCCATGGTGTCTGTTGCAGTAGGGAAACCTATAGACACTATTCTCAAAACCTATTACTGCAGTGTATGTTATTTGCTGTGAATAAACTTGAACTTTTGTTACATTTATGTTTGTTTCTCTGCATCAGATACGAAAAATAAGATAAAAATAACTGCAATAAAATCAAGCCAGTGAGAGGACATTTGCCACATCTCTTAAATACTTTTTTTTAATTTAACATATAATAGCCTGTATCACTATATCATTATTTTAGGTGTATTATATGAATGTCATGTAAAATACTGTATGTTGTAAAGCTAATATTTGTTATATGTGTAACCCCCCCTGGGGACCTAATTTAGAAAATAGAATATTTTATCTTATCTTATCTTACTAGTTTTTCAGCATCAGAAAGATTTGGAAATATAGGATTATTTATTACGATATCATTAAAAAGTATTATACGTAATATTATATTATTTTGACAGTAGAGGAGAAAGTGGTTTTCATCTCCTAATGTTTTACAAGTTAGACATCTTCTTTTGGTTTCTAGGTATATCAGATATCTCTTTTCATTAATATGCTCTTTAATATGGTCACTGATTCTAATTTTGGTAAATAAACGTCTAGTTTCAAAATTTGGATATCTAATATAAAAAAATATGTTATAAAGAAAAAGTTTGTTGTTTTCGTTTAAACTGTTTATTTTGTTTTCCAGTCATTCTGAATAAAAGTATCTTGAAATATTCTTAATCCAAGTCATTAGTTTTTTTACGTCTTTCCTATTTTGACAGGAAATCATTATTCATTTCTTATGGTGTAGAATCTTTGATAAAAGAGGACCATGTAAAACATCCTTGTGAGCCCAGGGGTGGTGTTCTCGAAAGGATACTTTCGTCCTAAAACACATCCTAAGACCAATTTTAGGATCTACTTAGGACACTCTTAAGTTGTGTCTCGAAGCTATCTCAGACGCATCTTATGTTAGGACGTCCTAAACATATCCTAAGTGCGAAATTTTAAATCGTTAAAGTAATTTTTTGATAAAACATTTATTAATGACGAAACCAATTAATAAAATTGTTTACGAATTTTATAATTACATGTATATAATTAAATGCATGATTTCAAATGTAATTATAAAATAATATCAAAAAGGATTGTAATTTAAACTGGAAAACAATTTGTTTTGAAATGAGAATTGAATTTGTAGTGTCATCGTATCGTGAAACACGAAGTTCAAAGTTTAAAATCATGCACAATTTCTTTATATACGAGTTAATAACCGATGGTGCGTTTCATTTCATGTTCATCTTCACGTAAAATAAGTTAGGATGAAGATAGGATGATCTTATATAATAAGACACCTAATTAGGTGTCCTAAAGTTAGGACGAAAAATGCGATATATCCTAAGTTAAGAGAACTTCGAGAACACGACTTAGGACAAAGACGTGTCATAAGATGGTCTTAGGACACGTCCTAATCCTATGATAGCTTCGAGAACACCACCCCAGGTGTTTACTTAATGTATAGCTTTCTTTTAGTAATGGGTTTTTGTTTTCAGTAATCAATCTAGCCAAATAAAGGATTGCTGGCGTTTTTATTTATTTTTCTATTGGTTGTCTTCCAAGTTCAGCTTTAACCCCTAGATTAGAAGATGTCTTTTTGGTACCTAGAATATATTTACAGAAATTAACCTGAACCTATTCAAAAGGAGTCTCGTCCAAATAATGGAAACTATCTATAATATCTTTATTTTGGGATTTTAATCTGCCTTTCACTTTATAATAAGAATGATATGTCTCCTTGGTTTATTCCCGATTGTCCCACTTTTTTAAAATTTTATAGTTCTGATTGTCCCACATTATTTTATTATGTTAAATGTTCTTAAATAAACAATATAATTGTAGTTTGTTTTGCAAAATCAAATTAAAATAAACTAATACATGAGCATATAATTTAGTAGTTGATATCAATTTTATAAATATGTATAAACAATACATATATGAATTGTTGAATAGATCATCAATTAAAATGCACTTTTGATTAAACAATATAACATATATGTTATAAAAGATATTTCATGATAATGTTTGGTTTTTATAAATCAAATATCAATACTTTTTAAAAAAATTTAAAGTTATTTAAATTTTAAACACATGCACGCAATTTATTCTTTTTTTCTTTTTTAATAAGCACTCAGACTAAGGTTTGGAGACAGGATTAAAACAAAACATTTACAATCACAATGTTTCATAAGCATTAGCTATTTTGTTATTTAATCATTAGAATTTACATCATCAATTTATAAAAAACAGAGGGCAATTAAGGTCTCACACAACCTTCAATCTCACTTTGGGAGAAGAGGTAAATGTGGCCCAGTAATGTCATTAGTGTCCTCTGAACATATACAATTTTATTAAAAAGATGAACTTATTTCTGTTAAACGTCCAGTGGCAAGTTATATGCGTAAGCAGCACGGAAACATATTGATGAAAGACAATTAAAAACCTGTAATTTTAAAAAGTGGGACAATCGGGAAGACACCTTATCCATGTATGATATTTCTGCATTATATGTCAAAGTTGGCTTGATAAGAGAATCAAATAGATTACAGGATACTCTAACAGGGAAATTTCCCCAAAAGGCTGCATGTTATTTATTGAATAAAAGCTTTCTTAGCTTTTTTGCTAAATCTGTTAAGCTCGCACTCAGATTTCCCATATTTTTTTATTAAGGTGCCCAGAAATTTATATTCTGTAACATTATCTCCTTACTATAGGGGGCGGGGCTAAATTATCTCCGTGAAAATGAGATGTGTCATTGCTAATACAACTGCATACCTACTATCTTTGACCGATCACTAGTGGTTCCCCAGAAACTGACCTAATCACAAACTAATACATTATAAACGCCGCCGACGACGACACCGTCGGAAACAGCATGCCTAAGTCACACTTTTTGACTCCGTCAAGGCAAGACAAAAACTATATCAGCTGTGGCGTCTGATAATACGTTATTTGTAACTCTGATATCGAAGTAACTGAACGTGAAAACTAGAAACACCCGAAGAATAAAAAAGTTCGGGAAAACGTTTGCTTCCGGTCAACTATTCTACCTAGGGAAAATCGTCGTTGAAACTATTTCCGTAGGGAAAATATTAATTTTATCCGTATTTGATTTTATATGGAGCATGCATACTGAGGTATAATAACAAAGTCTATTTAACTCTCTGCAAAGTCCACGTACAAGCAGACAAACATACTGAAAGTGGGAACATCAAGAAGGGCACGAGACTAGGGCCCTCGGGTATAAGACTTTACTCAGTACTTAGAGTACAAAATTTGTGCTCAAAACAACAAATCCAGTAAATTGATTGATTGAATTCTGAGTCTGAGTACGATAATCTTACTCCAAAGTTTTATGACCTCAAGACCAGAACTCTCGGGCATAAAACTTTCCTCAGTACTCGGAGTACAAGATTTGCACTCGAAACACCAAATCTAGTATTTTGATCAGTTGATTTCTGAATCTGAGTACCATAATCGTGCTCGAAATTTCTATGACTGCAAAGCCAGGATATGCATCTTCTGCTACGCATTCATTTCAGCTAACAATTAAGTAACGAGACATGAACTTCTCAAAATTTATAACGAATTTAGATTATTAATAATCGACATGTAGGATCATGACAGAGAGAAATGCTGCTGCGAGTTTTAATATTTTTCATATAAAAATGTCAAAATAAATGATGTGGTATGATTGTCAATGAAACAACTATCAACAAGAGTCCAGATGACGTGGATGTAAGCAACTATAGATCCCCGTACGGCCTTCAACAACGATCAAAACTCATTAAAATGTAGTTAAAAGAAAGTAAGTTATTAAAGGCACCGACATTACAAAATGTGAAACAATTCAAATGAGAAAAACTAATGGTCAGATTGATTACAAAACATTACGAAAAACAAACATGACAGACATAAACCAACGATCACCAAATATTTACAGGCTCCTGAATATGCAGAATATGGCGAGTTAAACATTTTTGTGCGCGCTCAAACCAGCTACTAACCTTGGACAGTGGTGTAACAGCACAACACAAGAAATTGTAAAAATCATTTGAAATTGGCTCAATAGATTGATACGAAGCAGAAAAAAACAACTATCTTAAAAACGAAAGACACAAAGTACTGATCTAATAGTAATCGCAGGTATAGCAGGTATCAATCAGTACATATTGAACGGATTAGTGTAAAGACGTTATACACACACAGTCTGGGAAAAGCATAACCGTATACATGCAATGTCAAAATATAAGTAAACGTAGGATCATAAGCATTCGCGACTTATAGTAGTACATGATTATGATTTGATTGATCAAAAACAAAATCAATGTTAGCACAAATAAAAATAATATTATAAGATTTTACTACGCTGTTAAAATGTATTACCTTTAGGAATAAGTTTATTCAAATGATCAATGAGTTTACATAAATCGTATTTAAATATAATTTTAATATAAACAACATCACCGTAAACATTAGGGTGTGATATCCCGTTTTTTAACCAGAATTCTACAGGTTCAGCCAAAGTTCCAAACCAAATCGTTCCATCTTTGAAAGAATATAGTAAAAGTTTTATGTAATTGTGGTAGCGAAACCCTTGACCAAATAATTGACAAGTTATACAGAGATTACCACCAGACTCATTAAAAAGAGTTGCAACAACTATTTTGATTAATATCGTTCAGCTTAATGAAATTTGGAATCCAACGTTTTTTTGTTGTTGTATTTCACACCTTATTTAGCATCAGGTCCTAAATTCCTGTGCACCAAAACTGAATGCGAAAGCACAACTGGTCAGTCTTGTGATGAGCATCATATTTTTCACAGATCAAAAAGATGCAATTGATTTCCACGCTCTGTAATGTCCATCTTTTCCAAGAATTCCAGCCGAGGACAAGACGATGCCTGCTCGAAAAAAAGAAACAAAATATATAGACAAGAATGTCTTGTTACATCTTGGTTTTTTATTTGGTAATTTGGAGAATTTGTTATTGATAGCAGATCTCTGATAGTTTCGGTTTAATGTATTTACACTTTTCGACTAATGTAGGATAAGGAGATGTGGTATGATTACCAATGAGACAACAACCCACAAGCGTCCAAAAGCAACTATATGTCCCGTACGGCCTTCAACAATGAACAAAACCCATATCATATAATCAACTATAAAAGTCTGTAAAAATCAGTTGGAAATGGATTGGCTGAATTTGACTCATCAGATTGGTACGAAGCACACGAAAAACAACTAACATGAAGACAAAAGACAGAAAGTACCGTTGTCAGATTACTCGAAATACTCAAGGCAATTTAAAGATGACATATTGTGTAGACACCAGTCCTGTCTATTGTTGAAGGCATGCATGGTCCCTCTATACGTATTTTGGTTGCCTTTGTTTGCCTTCTCATAGACGTATACACCGAATCTCCTTTTATTCATATAATTTTTCCTATTTTTTCCTTTTAAGCGCTTTCTCAATTTGAAAAGATTGATCTCGTGAAAACAATTTCAATTTCTATCAAAAAAGGATTTGAATTAACCCCCGAATCTGGATGATATTAGTTGTATTGAAAGTATAAATATTTCCTCAGCATGTAGCACATGTGTAAGCAGACACATGACATTGACGAAAGGTCTTTTGAAAACAGAAGGTAAATGTTTTATTTTTTTTTCTCTTTCTTTCGAGACTTAAGTTTTTGTCTCCTCCCACTCATTTTGGTTTGGTTATTTCATTTACACCCAATGTTTATTGAGAAAACATAGCCTTTTTATCAGCTTCATTCCCCGGATGGTTGTTTTTCATCATCCTGTGTTTCTATATTTTGGCGTTTTGTTCACAGTACTGTCAATTTGTTTAACTACCATATATTAATTGCCAATCAACTTTTTCTCGCTTGAAAATGAACTTGTACAATCATTTTTGAACCTCTCTCTCTCCCTCTCTCCATCCATCCATCAATCCATTCATTCGTTCATTTGATTTTGGTTAAAAGTACCCCTGTTGTTATTGATTAAATTTTGTGTTAATAATTTCGTTATTATACCTTTTCCTTTGTATGCCATTGTTATTACAGCGCCCTCCTCAGTGGCGCTCACCATCGGATATACTGTATAACGTCTCATATCTTCGTCCTGAATGGCAGGACCAAAATATCCCTCTTCACTCCCAAACATAATCTTCCCTTTATCCATGTCTAAATACATAAAGAAAACATCTGGAAGTTTGGAAAACAATTTTCTTGGATATCGCCTTGTTAGTCGGCCGTTCACAAAAACTTTTTGTGTGGAAAGGTCAATGCCCCATGAAACGGCAGCTTTTCCAACCAAAGATGTTGAGCTTTTATGGTCTAGCTCAGAATCTTTCGTTCCAACGCCAATAGATGAATGTTTTCCTCTCATTTTACTAGGGAACACGATTTCAAAGACATGTTTTCCAGAGTTGTACCCTTCTATCCATTTAGCACCGTCAGTTTGTTTGTTTCCTGGAATGAACATAAATAATATTATTGTTTAAAAGATAACATTAATGAACCTGTTTCTAGTAAAAAAAAATTTATCATTGAGTTAAAATCAGCCGAGTACTGAAATTTATATATAAAAAAACCTTACAAATAAACGGAAGTCAGACAAACATTCCAATGACATTACTCATTCAAATATAATATGCATGTGTTTTAAAGCATTAATATGGAATCGTTTCGGATTAAGGTTCGTTTCGAAAGTATGCCTGTAATTTCAACCCCTATGACCATGTCTATTTTAAAATCTACATGCTAAAGTTGTTCATATTCAAACATGCATGAAATATTTGCCACTGGACGTTAAGCAACCAACAATCAATCAATCCAAAATATATACTATGTAAACAGAAAACATGCAGTGATAACAGATACAACAACTTAACAAGGAAAGCCTGAAAGAAAAATTGAACACCTGCATTTTCTATTTATTTGTATTGGTAGACTACTTAATTAATGTTTGGGGGTATTATGTAGTCCATATTTGGTATTTTGTGTCAGGAGCAATTTTATGATTTGGCCGCCCTCAGAATCACTTATCAATATAAATAAGAAGATGTGGTATGATTACACAGAAGTTAACAGCTATAGGTCACCGTACAACCTTCAACAATGAGCAAACCCCATACCACATAGTAAGCTATAAAAGGCCACGAAATGACAAATGCAAAACAATTCAAACGAAAAACAAATATGATATAAAGCAACAATCGAGAATCACTGAATTACAGGCTCCTAACTTTGGACAGGCATAATACAGAATGTGTCGGGGTCAAACATGTTTGCTGGCGCCAGTTTGGTTTTTATTTACGGATAACAAAATCAATATTTATACCGATAAAACAATACTCAAAATTCTTATTACAGTGTTAAATTGGTAACCCTTAAGAATAAGTTTATTTAAAGAAGTTTATCCGGATCGTATCTAATTTTACAGGCTCGGTAAACAACTTTACCGTAAAAATTATGATATGCTATGCCGTTTGTAATAAATCTTCTACAGGCAATCAAACTTCCAAACCAAATATTTGTGTCTATGGAAGAATATAGTAAAGGTTTCAAGCCCTATTAACTTCATTACGGAAAATTTTGGAAAATATTCCTGAGGGCGGCCAAATCAGAAAATCGTTCCAGACACCGTATCCGAAAAGAGATATAGTATGAAGACTAAAGTTCAGTGCTCAGTTCAATGATTTTTTTGGAATATATCAAAAACCGTTCCTTTAAATAATTGACATAAAACTAGCAAAATTCTAGTGTTTCAGTTTTTTTAACAATCATCTTGCCTGTTGCAAGTCTATTCTGATTAAGCACTTTTAGACCTTATTAGGATAGATAATTACTGCCAGTATTTGCGACAGCAGATGATTCCTTTAAACAACGCTATAAGATACACAAAACCTGCCTACCTTTTCGTCGTCTGATGATTGTATTTATTGTCACATTTCTAAACCCTTGAGATTTAGATCCAAAACCATCTCTATTGCGTTGTATGTTAGGTCTAATTGTGTGGATCCAGGGAGGTGGAATTAAACTCAGGACTGAAAAATACATACAATTATTCAAATAAGCATAAACGTTAAAAAATAACTGCCAGCAGAGTTTATAAATTTTCATATAACTTGGCCTGTCGTCGGTTCATGTCCATCATATTTGTTTTTCGTTAATTTTTTGTTATAAATCAGACCATTGGTTTTCGCCTTTGAACTGTTTCACATTTTCATTTCTGGGACCTTTTAACAGTATGGGTTTTGCTCATTGTTGAATGTCGCACGGTGATCTATAGTTTATAACATCTACGTCATTTGGATAGTTGTCTCATTTGCAGTCATATCACAACTCCTTATTCTCATATAATCCAATTTGTATAGACATGGTAATGTCCCATGTGTTTTATATGATATCTATACTACTAAAATAACGAGGTCCAATTTGTTAGCCGACATGACGTAAAAACGAAGAATCAAAGAATTAAACTATATTTAACTAAATAGGACAATGGAGTTGTTTAAAAATTACACCATTCCAGGCCCTTTTGTTTTCCTTGTAATTAATATTACCAATAATTAACAAGTTCTGGGTCAAATCCGATACCGATACCAATAGTATATATCACCTGTAACCTTCTGTAAATCCCTCCTCTATCAGGACAAACTGGAAATCTTCCAGTAGTTGTTTCAATCTATGTAACAATACTTACACTATTTAACAAGTCTGTTTTCTTCCACCTCAATACCACTATTAATTTTGGTTAATTAGTTAAAAATTAAATTGAGTTCATAGTAAGTTTATTGTAGTAAGAAAACCAGGACGGTTTCAAACAAAGATTTTGAAAGCAGAGAAAACTGTGCACTTTACAATCAACATGACTTTATTAGCTGACAATACGAATACTAAAGATCCAGGCTGAAAATAAGGCATAGGTACTTTATTTCAGCCACAGACCCGCAATGTCGCGGGTGTGTTCTAGTACTTATATATAAATATTCGATAAAAAAAAAGATAAGAGATCTATTATGCTATGGTGTTGATTTAAGATGTCATGAGGTATATTCAAGATGGTATGAGGTATATTTAAGATGTCATAAGGTACATTTAAGGTATATTTAAGATGTTATGAGGTATATTTAAGATCATGAAGTGTATTTAAGATACTATGAGGTAAATGTAAGACGTCATGAGATTTAAATTGTCATGATCTATATTTAAGATTTCATGGGGTATTTTTAAGATGTCATGAGGTACATTCAAGATTTCATGTGGATATTCAAGATGTCATGGTGTATATTTAAGATGTCATGAGGTATATTGAAGGTGTCATGCGGTACATTCAAGATGTCATGAGGTACATTCAAGATGTCATGAGATATATTTAAGTTGGCGAGAGGTGTATTCATGATGTTATAAGGTTTTTCAAGATACCATGAGGTATATTCAAGATATCATGAGGTAGTTTAAGATGTCATGAGATATATTTCATATGCCATGATGTATATTCAAGATGTCATGAGGTATATTTAAAATGTCATGATGTACATTCAAGATGTCATGAGATATATTTAAGATGTAGTGAGGTATATTTCAGATGTAATGAGGTATATTTAGGATGTCATTGGGTATATTTAAGATACCATGAGGTATATTCAAAATGTCATGAGGTATATTTAAGATTCCACGAGGTAGTTTTAGAATTTTCTGACAGTTTCGTTGAAATTCAATCAGAATTAAGAAGTGTACAATACCACAAATTACTAAAGATTATACACCTGAAAGTTTAAATGAAATCTATTTACTGGTATTAGAGGAATCGTTATATATGATCATATATATATGGTGTGGGCTAGTGGATAAACAAAAAAACACACGAACGGACACAATGATCACCTCACATCCCTAATTTACAACGCAGGGAGGGAGTTGAATAAATGACTTAATATTTGTGCACTTACCAAACTCAATTTATAAAAACGGAACTTGTTCACCAAATATAGAGACACTCTCTGGAAGTTCCATTTCATTAAACAATGTTATATCATATATAGATATTAGATGACGTGTTAAATACACATTAGATCTTTTGTAACTTGATAATAATTCTTTGAATTATTTTATTTCAATGAGATTTTTTTACATTTACATTTACACCTTTGCGGAAAAGCAGGACTCGGTTTTCGTCGACTCAAATTACACTCAGTCACTTTTTTTTTCAGTTTTCAAAATGTCAGGGTTCCCGTCTCCTTAGAACCACCTCTGCTTCTATACATGTTTTCTTTAATTTCGAATGAAATAGTTAATGATATTGTATCAGCAGTGTTGTATTCAGATATTCACAAAACGGTATAATTATCATAACTTGACATTCTAAGGGTTAACTGGGGTAAATTAGGTCAACCCTGGACTTCTCCCGTCCGGCAGTAATACTAGTACCAATGCTAGAGTGGGGCGTCAGTTTAGCTGTGCGGAATGTATGAATATGTATACGCAGCCACGTTCGGTCGGAATTTGGAAGTTAAATCCGATACCTCCTGTAAGGTTAGTGTCACGTTCTCTATACGTTAGAGAATCTTTTCAACAACATCGTAGGTGACATGTTTCAAGGCAAAATTTCTGACCCTATTCAACATATCATTATTTTCCAGTAATAGTCCAAAATTCTCACCCCTCATCCTGATCAACATACCTTGCATGCAACCATCAATTAATCAATCTAAAAACTGATAATAATTGAAAACAGGTGTGGAAAACGAGACAGTTTGAATATCAATTTCAACGAAAAAAAAAAGTTGTATGTCTAGAAATTAGATTTATGAAGGCCGGGTCAAGCATATTTAACGCCACAAAGGCGTGATATGATATGTTAGGAAGAGCGATACAGCCAAAGGGAAGACCGATAATATAGTGTTATTAACTGGCTGTTTTTATATTGGCCCTGTTATAGATTCGAGGTTAGCTGTATTGGACCCGAGACTCGAAAAGTCTCGGGCCAGTACAGCTGATCGAGAATCTATAACAGGGCCAATACAGAAACAACCAGTTCATAACACTTTTATTAAATGATTTTAATTCTAAACTAAGATTAAACTAAGAAACAGTTCATTACTTACCGTGAAGAAGATACAGAAATTCATATCTGAACTTGTCTTTTCGCATTCACGATGGATTTTTTGTCAACATTGTCAGATGTAATTTCTAATTTCTCGTCCAAGTACTTAACCTAGTACAATTCATTTAATCTAGCAAATATAAAGTAGCTGGGAAGAATAAATCAAACAGTTTCTATTCTTATTCTTGAATCGATTGATCAACGGAAATGAAACAGTGATAATAATCGAAAGTCGTACTCGAAAAGACTTAGAAATATATCCATTTCAAGACGTTACAAAGCACTGACCATCGTTTAAACTTTTTTATGATATTAAGTTAAAAAATATGATACAAATGTATTTTATGCATAACGATACGTCCAAAGGCGTAAGAAAATTGAAACCGGAAGTGAACGTCCCAGGTCCAGAAATTTTTGAAATGTTTACAAACACTTTTTTTACACGAACTTTTTGACGCAATTTTACAAAAAATTGAGACGGAAAGACATATGATTTTTTTTTATCTCTTGATAGATATATGTACAACGTTTCAGAAAAGGTATCACTCTAAGGGATTGAAATTCTACCTTTGGTCAAATTTTGGGTAAATATGTGACATCTTTACCCCACTTTTTACAATATTTTATAGCAAATACATGCAGGTTGTTGCCATGGATACACCAAAAAGAAATTATCTTTAACCATTTCAACTACTTGATATCAAATCTATGGAAGATACTGATTACATACATATGCACATATTTGGCACAAACAGTAAACTTAATTTGTAAGAAAGCAAGGAAAAGGGGATGGTAAAATTTATGAGGGTAAATTTTAAATTTTTTTCCTAACTGTATATTGCTACCTTATATCGACAGGGCAACGTCATAGTATTGGACATGCTGATTTATCCGTATTAGGGCTGATTTGCTCATATCATTTAATAACAAATCATATCAAAGCAAATGTACATGATGGCATGTTAAAGACCTATTTCTATATCTTTTGTAAATACCTGATTTAGAGCTGGTTCCATTTCCCATTTGCCTATTTCAATATGTAAAACTGTCGTAAGTCTTGTCCTCAGATAACTATAATTTCAGCAAAATATACATTTACATTATGTAATACAGTTTACTCGGCAAGCTTACGTTATACAAAAGTATAATGCTAAGCAAATATAATGTCACAGTATATACAAAATGAACTTATTTTGTAAACTATACACACCAGTCAACAGTCGGAGATCAGAAGTATTTTACAACTCGAAAATTGCGCTATATATTTCATATAAAAACACTAGTTTTCAATTGACGGTTTACTAAAATTACAAAAAATGATAGCTAGAATTATTTTAAACGAACACGATATTCGAAAACGATCTATTGAACTATTTAAGGAATTTGAGATTATTCACGTTACTTAAAGAATACTAAACCATAAGTCATTATTAATGTATAAATCAAAACACAAATTGGCACCCAAATATTTATCAAATCTTATAACAAAGATCAGCAATTAGACAATAGTTTACCTGTAAAATGAATCAAGAAAATATATTCCCGTTAGCACTATAAATACACGTGAGGTCCGCTTGACTTCCTGACCTGGATTGAGAAAGTTAAAATAAATGACGTAGAAATCGCTCCCAAGTTCGTAAATATTACTGAAATCCTACAGTCAAATTTCTAAACATGCATTAAAAGACAAATCCGTGCTCTCGTAAATATGGGTACGAAAAATGCATACATGATCCGACATCAATGACCTGTGAAAAATAAAATCAATAGTTATCGTGATTGATTGATTGATTGTTGGTTGACAGACATATATATTTGAGCGTCACGTGACTTAACAAAACCATCGCGCGGACCTAAATTTAGAATAAAACATTCCATATCCAAATATAGAAAGTGAACTTCCAAGACAAAATGTTACTCAGTTTTATTTCCTACAAGTTCAAACAAAATGCACACACAACAAAAAAAATAAAACATGAAGTCCGAATTCCCGTAGAATATAGAGACAATTTATAAAAGGAAGATGTAAGGATTTTTATTCATTAGGAAATCCAGGCCGTCCGTTTGGCTGTCCGGAATGTATAAGTACGCAGCCACGTTCGGTCAGAATATGGACGTTAAGTCCGATGTCTCGCACAGAGAGAGTGCCATGCAAACTTTCAATCAATCAATCAATCAATCAATCAATCAATCAATCAATCAATCAATCAGTCAGTCAACCAACCAATCAATCAATCTGTTTAATACGGGGTCCAAGATCTCATTTGTTTCTTTTTCGTTGTTCCAAGAGACCCTATCCCATGTGTTTAATTAGTTTATCAGTCCACCAACCAACCAATCAATCAATCAATCAATCAATCAATAAAAAAAAATCAAGTAATCAATATTGTTTCGGCGGGGAAAGACCGTTAACAATTGTTTTTAAAGCAATTGATTTATATATATTATTATTTTTTTCTTCTTCCGCCACATTTTTTTCTTGCGGTATAGTGGTTTCGCAAGATGTCACTTAGATTTTTGGCATATGATATCGAACAGTTATTGCGCTTTTGAAACTGACCGTGTTTAACCGAACACTTTTTATTGTAAGAGTTATCTCCCCAAACACTGTTTATCTTGTGTGCGCATCTCCTTCGCAACCGTAAAAAGATTACGATAAAATTATTTCACCAATTTGCTCATTATATCCTCAGGATCTTAAGAATAATTTTGACCGAAGCATCAGGAGAACCATATGAGAGTTATTGCCCCTTCTGTATTTAAAATAAGTGAAATGTAATTGTAACTGGTAAACCATAAGTTATAGAGACCTAGGGTCTTTTGAATTGAGGTCCTTGGTCCATCAAAATGAAAATGAGGTCAAGGTCAAAGACAGGTTCTAAATTTTGATTTTTGCTTCTTATTGCTTCTTTTCAGAAACCGTATAAGATATCAACAAAATATTTTTTTCTAAACTGTTAGTTTTGGTTAAAAGGGTGTGTTGACATTTGATTGGAGTTTCCTCCCCTCTAATACTTAAAATTAACTGTATTGGGATAGAACTCATTTGCCATATATATAGTGAAGACAATTAGGTCATTTGATTTGAGGTCCTTGCTTTATGACATTGAAATCATTAGTTTAAGGTCAAAGGTAAATTTTGACGTTCTAGATTTTGACCTTTGCTATAGATTCATATTTATACATGATAAAGCCATGGGGTCTTTTGCATTAGGTTTTTAGACATAATATAATTATGACCTTGAAAATGTCAATCAGAGGTGGCCTTTAGAAACGGAAGTAGCAACTTATCTCCCTTGTTTAATGCAAAAGTATATAGAAACTGTATATTTTTGGAATCAGCGTAAAGTAAGCTGTCATTTGAAACCAGAAATGACCTTGATTTAACCGGAAGTGGCTTATTATTTCCCTTAATTGACGAAAAAAGTGCCTTAAACATTCAGTGTGTGATAAGCTATGCTCATTCAAAACCGAACATACATATTTCTATCAAAAGTTATCTTGTCTTAAGTGAAATTTGGTGGAAAGACCTTTGGTTTTTAATTATTATTATAATTATTATTGTTACTGTTATTGTTATTATTATTATTATTATAACATACATAAGTACTCGTTGTAACAATCAATAGTACTTGAAAGTAATACTATCCAGTTAGGTTATCTCCAAATTGTTAATCATTATCCAATCAGATCAAAGATACAAGATGATTGACAGAAGGGGGCAGTAATTGACAAACGCAAAATCGCGAAATGCGCATTTAGCGTTTTCGACTTCGTGTTTTTCGCATTTTCGCCTTCGTGTTTTTACCCTATAAAATAACAAAGGCGAAAAGGCGAAATCTCGAAAACGCAAAATGGCCTTAACCGGCCACCATACATAAGAGGGTCAAAATATTGGATGAAGTTACTAATATTACTTCACTTGAATTATAAGTTCAAATGTTGATACTGTTGTTCTTAAAGTTTTTGTGATAAATTGCACATGTACTGTTGCCGCAATACCTGCGCACAATTTATTTTCTGGATGTAATCGTACTAGTTTAGATCGATCTCTGCGTTGACATTTAAGGTTAGGGCGATTCAAACTAAACTATAGCTCTTTTAGGGTTTTAGTTTGGGTCGATTCAATATCGACACTGCACTTAAATCGATCTATTTTAAAGTTAACAGATCTAGTTTAAAACGATTTAAATGTCCAAGTGTAAACGGGGTCTAAAAGTCATCAAACGACTATTGTCAGTTTTTGCATGTCCAATTATCACATAAAATCACCAAAAAAATCTTCTCACCTCCAAAAAAAACCCACATCAGAAATGATCGCACGTATAGTTTTAAAAATGTATCGCTTCCAATAAACGGTCTTCCATATATATTCTAGTGCTTTAATAACACATTTTTGGACTTTAATCCTGTTGGTGTGCATCGTAAGGTCATATTATAAAGAAATTGTGTTTAAACATTCATCAAAATCAATTATTTTGTATTTTCAAAACGTAAACAAACATATTTTTTCCATCATCCTGTATTCTACAATAATATACTCGCGTATGACAGTTAAAATTCACTAGCCGTATTCGTTGTATACACGGATGAACTATCCCCTATATTTGGTCCGAGTACACAGTTATTTCGTAGTGCATTTCTTTTAGACAATAAATGAAAATTAAAAAAATCCCACCTGCGCTTTCTCAATAATATTTTTACAGTGTGTTGTACTACTTTTGGGACAAATTATATCAAAATTATAGAAAACTTCATCGGCTCTAACTCAAAATATGGACAATTTCATGCTAAGGGGGTCTTCAAATCTTTTGACAGCCTCCGAAGTGCTAATTTTTAACCTTTTTCAGCTGGACCAAATCACTACTTTACTTTAAAATTCATGACCCAAATTTTTTTACAGTGTCATTTCACCCCCCTACTTACTATTTGAGTCATAAAACATGGAGAAATAAATTCGGATGGGGTATAAAAAAAATCGACAAGTAACACACTGTCCACACTAGGGACTATATTTGTGGACAACGAAAATCAAAGGACGATAACTGTGTACCCGGACCATTTGTTTAGATACACCTTGAGGGCGTGTGCCCGAATGCGTGTATCTAATTTTCACTAAGACATCATTGTCTATGCAGAATGATAGTTTTCAATAATTTAGGAAGGGGTCTTTCAGCGATTTGACCATATGTTATTGAAAAGCATGATAAATGCAGGGTATCCAATTTCATTTGACAACATCTTGATGTAAATGGTGATATACCGTTAAGAACTGTAAAGACAGAATATAAACACTGTAAATAGATAAATGATAAAATAAGTACATTTTACCTGTATATTATCTAAGTTCACTTGTTTTACATTTAAAATGAATGCGCGCAAATATTAAAAAGCTACTCGCAAACGTAATGATTTTTGCGCGCAAATGTAATGGTAAAGCGCCCAGACATATATAATTAGGTATAATTCATGCAAATATTTCAAGAAACAGCAGATGTTGTTGTCTTTAAAGATAAAACATTCATTCAAATCGGACAAGAAATAATGTAACTTAAAGGAAATTTTTGTATGTGTCTTTATCTGAAATATATAGCATTCTTAGACTAGTAGTTGTCGATGTGTAAAACACTTGTGACTTTAAAATATAAAAATAATTAATTGTGTATTTATAATGCCTACGATATTTTCAAATTCGATTCATTTCAAAAATAGTCTTATTATATAGTATTTTATTTATTAATACTACCATGTACAAATTCGGTTAAATCAAATGAAACAATGTTATACTAAAGTTTTTTTTAATTGATAATATCAGGGGTTTTCAATATAACAAAGCAATGTTTTTGTCGAAAGAATGAAATGTAACTTACCAAATAAAAAACGATTGTAATAATATCTCCATTCAGTTTAGTGTCCATTTAAACTATTATATATTTGTATTAATACGAGGTTAAATGCATGTAATTAAACAAAAGGATTTACACACAAAATAATGCACATAGTTATGTTTAAAATTTCAATTAAGTTTAAAATTATACTCTAGACTATTATTTTGTTCAAGATTTCAAGATTTTATTTGAACACTCAGACACATATACATGTGTAACATGAGGTCATTAAAAATAGCATTACATAAACATGACGAAGTAAACATGTGGTATCGATAATATAGATATAGCATGTAGATATAACAATAATATACAAATATGTTTTCTAACATTTCAAAACATACTGGCAATGTTTTTGATAAATACAGAAAGTCGTTTATACAGTCGTACATTACATATTGAAAGAAGATCTTCCATTTTTTTTATAATTAGGATTCACTGTGTAGTAGCTTGGTAGAATTTTTTCCCTAAATTCAACAATATTTTGGTCAGTACATTTGAGTAACAAATGAAATTCATCACCAATATTACTCCTACACAAAGTACATATTCTATCATGCCTCGGGTTTTTTTACGCAAATTTGAACACCTAAAATATGTGATCCAAAGCCTCAATATTCAGGAAGTTTAAGAAGGTATGTTTCTAAAGTCAACTCGTTTTTAAATATCGAGTAAAATTGTCCTCGTGATGAGTTTTCAATATCACTAGACCACTGTTGTACAAACTGGTCACAAAGTATTTGTTTTAAGTACATTTTATTACAGTAGCCCGTTTGATTGGCAAAAATATATCCAATGCCAGTACTGTATTGAGTTTTAGGCTTTAAGCCAAGCATCAGTCTGTACAATAAACTACATAGCTTTGATTCATTTGTTTTTTTAGAATTTGACACTTTTCATTATTTTATTTATCTACTTCAGATGAGAATTCCTAACATTAAAAACCTATATAGGTTTAAAGACGAGATGTGACTGAACTTTACATAGAAGTGGAAATTTTTAAGAAGCAAGTGTAAAAAATAAAGGATTAACAA